GGAGTTTCTTTCTTCGTTTTGCTCGAACTATATTCCTCGAATTTTTTTGCTTTGTGAGACGACGTGATCTATTTAAAAAAAAAAAAAAAAAAAAATAGCGGAACGTCAATTAATTCACGCGTGAAAACAAACGAGACGATGATCTTGATTGTGTGATCGACGATTTCTGAAAACTTGGAACCAAGTCGCAGCTCGTAACCGGTTGAACAATCCCTTCCCCGTATCGTTGTGTGCTCAGGCGCGTCCTTGGTATCTGGATTTAAAGAGGTCAGTACACCTTCGTGGGACGCGGGTTTCCTGATACCTCGTGTGGTCAGCGATTGTCCGCCGAAAGTAAAGGACTACATTCACGTGTAATTCTATCCGGAGAAGCCGGTTTTTACGAATGTGTTACGAATGATTTTATGCGAAATGACCCGCTATTTCGTCCGGTTAAATTTTTGACCTCGCGCATCCGGCATGGGAAATTTTTGTGACCTAACAATAATTTGAAAAAAACAAGTGTGTTATACATTTACAAAGTTGAAACAAGGAAAAAAAAAATAAATTTGCATATCTCCGACATCTGTGAAAACCGGTAAATCGGTGACCGATCTCGGTAACGGTAACTTTGTTACGGAATTTCGTGTTGAATTTCTAATGTTCATTTTTATAATCGAGATTATCGACAGGTTCGTTGATTAGATTGTTAAGTGGCTAAGTTTACAAAGTTGCTTCTGCGTGTGGTTGAGAGAAATACCGCATGTCCATATACAAAGTCGTGTAACGTGTACATTATAACAGTAATAGGCTATTTTGCGTGATATCAGATGACACGCTAAATTAATATCTACAATGTACAGCAACTTGTAAATAATAATGAATAATGAGCAAAACAAAATCAAAATTGTCGATAACAAAGATGAGCATAAAGATAAACATATTCGAAGACATAAAAGATACAAAATTCGCAAATTCTGGAACAAAAAATTAGAATTAAAAATTTCTCGTGTCGCTAAAAATATAAAATACACGTGTAAAACATTTAAAAAAGTTGCAAACTTATTGCACAATTGATTGTTATCTACATATATCGGCAAATAAATCCGCGATTAAATCGTTCGATTTTACAGTGTTGCACAAAAGAAAGAGAAAAAGCTTAACACGAGGACGAGATATTGAGCGACAAAAATATAAGTTAAACATTTATTCTTTTGCTTTGTTGTCGTCTTTAATTTACGTGTCTTTTTGACGTGCGACGACACATGAAATTAAACAAAAGAAATTAAAACTCGTATCGTTTCGGAAGTTGCGAAGCGACGAGGCGCGAGAATTCACTCGAGCAAAGAATATTCCGCGGTGCAGACGGTTGTGCATTATATCGTCGACTTCTACGATACGAAACCGGGGGGACCTGCTCAGGTAGGTAAGTACCGTTCGACGGGCTACGTCTGACGCCAGTCACGCCAGAACCTTCGCCGTGTCAGGTGTGCGAGCACCTTCCTGACGAATTCTTCGCCACAGTCCGTTCCGCGAGATCACACACGCACGAAGGCGAAGCTCGTGGATTTTTCGTTTCGGAACTTTAAAAAAAGGTACGTTGGGAAGAAAAAAATCGAGATCGGTATAAATCGGTATACTGTCTGTCGCGCAGAATTTTCCCCCCCTCCGATGGGGTTTTCTTGTATAGTTTCGTTTTCTCCCCCACGAGAGATCTCTACCCTCCGCGAGAAACGCACGGACGCTGTCCGTCCTCACGTGAGATCGGTATTGAGAGAAATGAGAAGAAAGTAGGCCGTGTGCTAAAAGAAATAAAAAAAAAAAAAAAAAGTACGAAGTGCGAAACTTGTTTGAAATACAAATACAGTGAATGAGAAGCAACGGATTTGAAATGTTATGTATCGGCGTTCGTGTGTTCGCTCTCTTGTATTTTATCTTTTATTTCTCATTGCGGTTATTACACAAGTGCGCGTTGACTCGAGGTTGAATCGCGCGTCAACATTCGCAACGTATTTCGAGATATCGTTTGTCACACGTTGATTTGGTCAGAAAGAAGATGTGTTTTCGAATTTTAATATATAAAAAAAATACGACAAGACAATTCCGATCAATTCGATATATTTCGCGTGTTTGTAGTTACAACGCAACAGAAGTATATCTCGATTCGTTATTTCGCGGCGTTGCGAGAACCGCAATACTATATACGTCGATCGGAATTAATTGAATCCGTGCACTTCCGCCGAGAGAGAGCAGATCTTCGCGTGAAAACGCGCGCTTCTCCGGAGAGATGCGCGCAAAAATGGTAAATAACGTGCCGGCAATTTGAGCTCCAATGATCGCATCGCCTTTTCCACATTGGAAACACCATCGAACACGCTCTACTTGACTGCGACTACCGTTGGCTGGTTGGCGCGGCCACGCGAATTTTTTCAACCGGCAATTCCGCCGGCCACCACGCGTGTAATCGCAAGTCCTCTACATCGTCGGGATTCGTTTGTCTTGCTGATCACGTTTACGAGCTGACTGAGTGTATAACCGAGGATGTTAAGTTAACTGTTTTCGCTGCCTCACAACATTTCTATTAGCGGCAAAGGTCGTCCTCACGTGCTTTGAACTTGGCTCGCGCGATCGGCACGTAAACCAGAAAATTAAAATACGCACGTAAAACAATTTGTGTACGTGTGGAAATCTCTTTATCTGCGATTTTCAATTCGACATTTTTATTTTGTAAATTTGATTGCGACAGTCGAAAAGTGACGTATTATAATATCGTATATATATATATTTTATACGCGCTGACGCGCGGTTGACTTCAGAACGACGTTTTTTTATTGAGAAATTGTTTATTTCAACCTTGGAGCGTTTGTTTAAAACGTTTATCATTCTAACAAATTTACAATAACGATAAGTGGTGCTGACTGGGTTTAGTCAGCCAAGGTCTCTCCTTATCGTTGGGCGATAAAAACTTACTTGCATTTTTTTCTAAATGACTAGATATCGTAAAAAAAAAAAAAGAACAATTTCAATTGTTAAAACTCGAATGCGACCGCGTGTTACGTTGTGTCATCGCATTCCTGAATGAACAAACCAAAGTTTTCTTACTTTAAGAAAAAAAAAAAAAACGTTTCTCTCAATTGACGATAAGAAAACAATATTTTCAATCGCTTTTTTCTTTGCCACTAGCGCAAATAAATAATTAACATCGGCGTGTGATAATCATGTCACACGAGATTGATGATTGTCTGTGTTTTTGCCAGCAAGAAAGAGTCGAGGAAACTAAACTGATCCATTCCGTTTTGTTAGACAGCTGTCCACCTGTCGATGAACGGCGACGTATACACCTTGCAATTTACATGTCGCACGGTTTAAGCGCCTTTAATTCGCCTTATGTCTTATTTCGCAATCGCCACGGTTTTTTTTTTTTTTTGAGGACGCGCTCAATTGTGTCGACGATTATTGGTGGAAAAAAAAAAACGGCTGACGTTTAATGAATTACAAAATCGCGATTACGCGCGTGTTGTATGCAATTTCAGGTGTAATCTTTGCTTAAGCAGCACCGTTACACATCAAGGTCAGCCGTTATTGCGATCATTTACACGGCATTCCATTCGACGGGATTCGACCGAACGCGATATATATTTATTGTCATAATTTCGAAAGCAACCGCGTTTTTAAGAAACCGCGGCAATCCCGTCGCGCTCTGACATCCGTTTTTATTCAAATCGCATATTGTTCGATAAAAAAAAATACGTGCGACTGTGTGTTTTTTACGGCGAGTCGCGCTTGACTTTGAATCTCGGTGGCAAACATTGCAAAAATCTTGCCGCGCGCTTTCCCTCTCGACGATCTGGGAATCAGGTTTCCGCGTGTCTCCTCACTCTTGTTCTCGGTCTTATAATATTTATAAAACACGACGGACAAACGTGAAATCAACCGATGACGAGGCAACTTTCGTTTGTTACTGTTTTTCTCCCTTTTTTTTTTTTTTTTACAGAAACAGTCACGTCTCTCGCAATTTCAAATCAAACTTTCTTTCGGACGAACGATTTCGAAGAATCGCGTAACAATTGACGCACCACATTTGTCGAAACACACATGTGTTTTTTATATCGGATGTTTATTAAGATGCAATGAAGAGACGCGCGCGCGTCTCTCTCGCGAATCGGCGATCTTCTCTTATTTCTGCGACTTTGCCATTGACGACTTTGGCGCGCGTTGGGGTAACGATGACTAACAGTACGTACCGTTAGGCCGAATCGTTATTCCAGCTGGAGAATGTCAATTTCGTGCGGTTTACGGTACTCAAATTGCGCGTTGCTATACGGCTGGCGTGTTGCCGATCGTTTATCGTCATTGTCTCCTCTCGCGACAGTCGCGACCGATCTCTCTCTTTCTCTCTCTCTCTCTCTCCGGGATAAATCAATGAACAATAAACGACACAAGTGTTCCTGGACCGCTAAACTCTATGCAAAAAAAAAAAAAAAACAGATAAAAAACTGAACTTCTGATCACGGTTTTAGTTTCGATATCTTTCCGTAAATATTACATATATATTTGTCAAAGCAAAAAGTGAAATTAATTTTGTGTCTAAAACTAATGTAGAAATAATCACGGAAAAACTCTTGTTGCGATAATTGAATGCACGCTTGTATAAGATATGCAAACGTATACGTATGCAAAAAGGATCTGGATAATTGCGCGCCTTGTTTGTGCGTCTTGTTTATGTTGACTCATCACATTCGTCATATCGATGTGAGTTTCCTCCCCGTATATCCCGTAAAATTATGCGCGCAAATATAAATGTAACTGTTCGCCATCGGCGAGGCAGCTACGTTAAAAGGGGCAACGGTATTCAAGTAGCTACGGAGCCGAAACGTTTCCGGTATGTCGCCCGCGCGCGCTCGTAAGATTCGCGCGACAACGACCTCGCCGTTCGTTTCGTTGAGAAGAGATGACGGGGGTTCTTTCCTAAAAATAACACGACCGGAATTTCAGGATCTTTTCTTGAGACGAGAGGACCGGGACGATCTGTTTGAGAATTTCTCGAGATCAGGCGATTTAATTCGCGCTTGCGTGAAAGATATATATATATCCGTGTTTTTTTGATGACGTTCGTCGCGAAGATCGCGCTGATCAAATGATTGATTTGCAGAAACGAAACGATGTGGCTGTCGAAGACGTCGTTTCTACTGATGCTAGTCGGATTGGCGTGTTCTGAAAAAGATAGCGAGAGCGACGCGTCCAGCGTTTTCATCGAGGAGGCCAAAAATCTCTTCAGCCAGGAATCGATCGAGAACATGGCCCACGCTTTCGCACACTCTGATGCTGGCAAACAAGTAGATACAAAATTTTTCATAGACATTTATTCAATTGATTCTTGATGCAAAACACGTCACGTTCGATTAAAAAAAAAAAAAAAGAGAATTTTTATTTCAAATGATTTATTTATTAATTTTCCAAACTTTTGAAATAAATTAATTTTGTATTAACTTTGGCAAAAAAAAAAAAAACTATGATAACAAAGAATCCGAAGTCAAATGTAAAATCGTCAGGTCGGCGACGTGTTCGATCGAAGATCTTCGGCGGATGGTGTCAGCCAAATCATCTCCGGGATCAGCAATCTGATCACAGGTGATCAAAATAATAATCAGGGTTTCGATATATCGATGATGGGCTCGATTCTGAGCGCTCTGAGTACGAGCGACAACGTCGGCAAGAGATCGGCACGTGACATAGAACACAAGGATGACCAAAGCGTCGACTGGGGCAACGTAATCAAAATGAGCAGCGTGTTCCTCCAACAAACTGCCAACAACGACATGGTGATGGGCCTCGTGCCAATGCTTCTAGACGCTCTCGGTCACGACACCAACGACAACGATGCCGGAAATAAGGATCACTCGGGACATTCGTGGTTCTTGCCGCCTATATTGGAAAATATTCACATCATGTGGGATCATTTCAGGTATCACAGATTAATCGTCGCATAAGAGATTTAAAGTTTCTTAATCGTTAAATGTTTGAGTCAGGAAAAATCGGAAAAAAATTAATAATTTATCTCTTATATATATAAGACACGCGAAAGGAGAGGTGACTCCTAACTTTTATTTATTTATATACACTTTGAGATTTAATTAAAACTCGTTTGAAAAAAACAATTATATATATATATATAAATAATATATAAATATATATATATATATATTTGATTAGTGAGATTTGATTAAATATATATATATATTTTCAAACGAGTTTTAATCAAATTATGATTTAAATTATGATAAAAAATATTTGATATGTATATATATATATATATATTAATAATTAATATTTTTGATATATATATATTATTTGATATATATATATATCAAATACATAATCTCAAACGAGATTATATATTAACTATATATATATATATATTTTTTTTTTCAAACGAGTTTTAATCAAATCTCAAAGTGCATATAAATAAATAAGAGTTAGGATTCACACCTCTCCTTTCGCGTGTCGCTTCGTGATGCTGAGATATGTTCTTTTTAGTAATTCGGAACTCGGACAGACGTTGTGGAAGAACAGCGGTCTGGCGAACGTGGTCGCTCAAATGTCCGACGAGAACGGAAACATTCTCTGGGAAAAGATTCTGGACAGCTTTGAGGATCCAACTGTGCGACGAAGATGGATCAAGTCGCTGACGAATTTCGTGGCCGAATGGATTTCACACGTTTCCGATCCGATGAATCAGCAACGGTATCTGACGACCGCGCAATTTGTCGGCAACAGTTTTTTGAAGTCTCAAGGATTTCCGAAGACAATGATGTTCGACGCAGCTAGGCCAACGGAGAGTCTTACCAAGTCGGTACAACGAAGAACAGTTTTATTATACGTCAACTTTGTTTTTTCCACTATGTAACAACGAAATTTTATTTTCAGACTGACGAACGCGATGGCGAAGAAGTATCTAAACATGAAGATTGACAGCTCGCAATACGTGAGACCGGCGGTAGCGTATTTCCAGGAGTTGGCGAGCTTGGCGTCGGAAAAAGGATTTATCATGTCTCGAGTGAACGCGCGAGAGCTGAGCAACAGATTAAACTATGTCATCAACAACGATATTATCGCGCCCATTCTCAAGGTGCAATATCGTTCTTTTAATAGTAAATTTTATCAGTTGACGTGATCTTAATTTTTTAATACATATATTTAAAATTATTTAATAATCTTCCCCCGTCGAGACGTTTTTTTGCTTGAACGTTTTTATTTTTTTTTCATGTATAAAACTATACATCGTGTCATTTCAATTTTAGTCCTATCGAGCGTACAAGTGGGCGACAAAAGTGCCGCACTGTGCTAGTCAAATCTTGTGTACCATAAATGAGAAGAGTCAGCTGACGGACGACAGTAACGAGTCGCGTGTGCGCGCCGCATTGCTCAGGGTGGCAAGTTTCCCCGCTGCTTGGGCAGTCAGTAATAAGTTAGGAATTAATTTCTGGTCGCTCTACGGAGCCATTATGGAGAACGAGAGATGCATCGTAAGTAAACATAAGAATTTATTGAAAAGAGAGAAAAACTAGGTGAAAAAAAGATTTCTGAATATTGTTGATTTCTCTCACGTTCGTACGTCGATTATGAACAAATGTTAACGATTTATAAACTCCATTTTTGTTTTTGTTTTTTTTTTTAGAGCAAATATCCAGCAGACTGCACGGCCTTCCACGAAGAGGAGATCAGAGTGACTACGGAAAATATTCACAACGAACTTTGAGTTTAAAGCTCGTTACCGACCTCAGGAACAACGTTAAAACCGTCTGATGCAGACGAGAAAAACGTACTGTGTCCGAAAAATCGTGTTCTAATCTAATCTTTACTTTCTTATAATTTATTTTAAGAAATTAAAATGCGCGTCCAGGAAAGTTACGATTTTAGTTACGGTATGTGATTAGATTACACAAAGGCGACTATAGATTATCAGGAGAAGTGTCTGTTCACTTGTTTTGTATATAGGACATACACAAAAGACACTTTATAGCCGTATTATACGTATTAAGTTTTAACAAAGACTTCAAAAAACAACATGTTTATTTTATAGAGTTTTTTGATGTGTAGTCTAGATGGTTTTTCAACTCTCTAGACTTTCATATTGTTTGTATGTACAATACCGTAAAATATTAAAAAAAACAACTACGCACGAGTAACTCGTTTAAAAAAAAAAACAAAAAACAAACAAACTGCGTTGGGTCAAAACATAATTTTTTTTAATTTTTAAGTAAAATTTAAGATTAAATTTTTTAAATCATTCTCGGACGCAAAATATACTACTTACGCAATGAATTGAACGTGCATTTCCGCACTTTGTGCGGAACTGAAATCGCAATTGCAATTCAGCAATAGAAATGACATACGGATTTTATTGTAATGACCCGTAATTAAATTTAAACGTTGTTGAACTTGCGGTTTTATTGGAAATGCAATTTTCTTACATCACAAACGCATCATCGCGCATGTACATACATATAATCGGAGTTTCGATGCTGGATCTCTCTTAGCTTTCAGACAATCCCACACGGACTAATTGAATCACGGGCCAAATTCGATGTAATTACTTACGTAATATTATTGGTTAAGATCAAAGAGGAAGTGCAGTGTTATATGAACGCTCCGTACAACACGCATTACGCTTAAATGCGAACGTAATAATATAATAAAAAAAGAAAAAACGTGGTGCTCAAGAGTCTCTACCTTAATTTTTAAGTATAAATATTTTATTGATAATTGTATCTACGAATACAATATAGTGTCTCTGTCCTCTTTGTTTTTATCTCTCTCTATTATTATATATTTCTCACTAAATATATATATACATATATATATACATATATATATATATATATATATACATATATATATAATATAAATCTATAAAAATTTTCTAACCCTATCTATATAGTTAAAACAACAAGAAGGCACGTTTCCTGTGCAATGTTATAAATAAATATTCGCTCGCTCTCTGTTACGGACCGCGACTCTTTTTTTCCGCGTGAAAAAAAAAAAAAATAGAATTTCCCGAGTCCGACTGATGATCGAGCGAAGAACTCGTTTGTTTGAGAATACAGGACGGAAGTTCGACAATTGGATATGTTCGGTACGACGATGGCTTCACGTAAAAAGCCTGGACCGCTGGGCTATCGCACCGAATCCATAAATTGCGATAGAGTGTGTCCTCAGCGTAGCTTTTTTGTAAATATTAGATAAAAGAAAAAGTAAAATAAAAATCATGTGTGTGAAATGAACAACACAAACACGGTGTAAAGTTCTTTGCTCCTCTCGTGCGCTCTACTGTGGAAACCAAATCGCCGATTGCATTTCTCGATCTTCGCGACGTGCTTATTATTTCCTCTTGATGTTCTTGCACGCCCACTCTAAGCCTTCCTGAAAAATAATGAGAAATTATTTATATATTGAATTGTTTCGAAAAAAAGAAACATCATCGTCAGAAAAAAAAAAAAAAAGATCGTTTCGCGTACTTTTACGCCTTTGCCCTCGATGGCGATGCACGATTGTATCTGCCAATCCCGATCCTTGATATTGTGCAAACCGAGTCCTTCCGCGATTTCGGCCGCCGTTACGGCGTGTCCCAGGTCTTGCTTGTTCGCGTACACCAGCAACGGCACTCCGCGTAATTTTTCTTCCAGCAAAAGTTCCGACAATTCCTGTCCCGTTTCCTCCAGTCTTTTGATGTCCGCGCTGTCGACGACATAAATCTACGGCCAGCATTGCAAATTTTCGCTTTGAACTGAATTTTCATTCCAAAAAAAAATCCTCGCAAAAATCTCCGCGGTCGATTTAAAATTAAATCGAAGTTTGCAAAATAGAAAAATACTAAGTGCTTTCTCTCTCTCTGTACATGTCAAGAGTCAATTTGCACACTACTTATGACCCACCCACGCTGCAAGAATACCGTTTCACACACACACAGTTCTTTTTATTTAAATGTCCTATCTCGTCTCCCTCCCCCTGTGAAATTTTACGGTACTCTTTTGTACTTGAAGATGAATCACTCTTCGTGTTTAAATGTGAAAGGTGTATCTTGTAGCTGTGACAGCGTGATCTATGCAAGATGTACGCAGATGCTTGTTCCCGATAACGGGAACTCATTGCTATTGTGAGATGGAAGAATATATTCCTAATTGTTCGCAAAGTTGCGCAGCAGAAGTGTTTATAATCTCTGTTTATATATTTATTTACTAATAATAAGATTTTCCAATGCAATTTAATAATAAAATTGATGTTTAAAAAAAGTATGTTATTAAAAAGTAAGAGATACTAATGTAAATATGTAAAAGAGCACTTACAAGTACGTCCGTGTTTTCGAAATAATTTCGCCAGTATGGCCGAATCTTTCGAGCTCCGCCAATATCCCAGACGTTTAATTTGAAACCTTCGCTCTGAACGCTTTTTATGTTAAAACCTTGCGTTGGAGTGACCTTGAAGTATTAATTAATTTATTCACTATGTGTATATTTTTCATTCTTATTAGCATTATATATTTTTTTACATATTAACCCATACAGCACACAAATCTTGCATGTACATCGCAGGAATCTTTCACCGCAATGTGGTGCAATATTGCCATTTCATCGTGAAATATTAATGCATCATTGTTGTTGAATTGCAGCAACGTTCAAATGTTCGCTTTTAGGAAGATTGCAACGAAACATCATAGAAATATTGCAATGTAACGAATATGCAATAATGCAGTGTTACTGCAATCATTAAGTAATATTGCATATAAGAATAGTTTTATTTCTTATAGATTGCATTAAAAACACATGAAGATATATGAAAGAAGGAGAAGATTTATATAAACAAGAATGCAATAATTTTATATCTAAGATATATATTATAAAATATTATACAGAAATATATATTTTTTTAGATTAAAGTATTGTATTTGTGTTCAAAAATACAATTGTGTGTGTGTGTGTGTGTGTGTGTGTGTGCATATAAAATTAAATACAATACTTTAATTTTTAAAAATATATTATTTACGTATAGCTTTATATTATATATTTTAGATATAAAATTATTGCGCAACCTTTTGTTTATATAAAAGTTTTCCTTATTTCACATATCCTCTCATATGTTTCATTCTAAAACAGAAAACATCTTATATAGATATGTTAAAACTCTTAAAAAATACATGTACTTATGTTTAGAATTCTTATAAGCGAGCCTGTATCTTAATTGCTATCAGATTTTTTAATATACAATAAAATAGTATCAAAAATTATTTTATTGTAATATTTCATTACTAAGATATACAATTATTATTATTTTACATTACAAAATTTTGTTTTTGCAATGATTCTAAAAATATTACTGTTTAATTGTTACAAGTGTGCTAATATTTTGCGGATTTATATGCAATCTGCAATGTGTCTTTGAAATGTTGCATTGCAATTTTCAATGTTGCAACGTTGCTGCAATATAGGCTGCTTTCCTTTTAGGAGACACAGTCGACACAAGAGTCATTCTGTCTTTGTTTCTCACTGAATACTGAACGAAGACAGAATGACTTTTGTGTCGACTTGTGTCGACTGTGTCTCCTAAAAGGAAAGCAGCCATATATTGCAATGAACTGTGCTGTATGGGAACTCGTTGCTCTTTTCAATAAAAACAATAGAGAATTTACAAAGAAACGTACTTGTGCGATATCTTCGCTCGCCAAAGATTTCAAAATAGTCGTCTTTCCAGCATTATCCAGACCCAACAGCAATAAACGCAGTTCTTTATCAGGATTTGATCGTAGTTTTCGTAAAATAGCAAGCAGACCCTAATATGGAATATTAATTATTCTGTATGTATTAAGTTAAATTTAAAACGCTTAATATCTTAGAAAAATACATATACCTACATATTACTTAATTAAGCGCTATATATTTTTCTTGTAAATGTATATAACAATATTCTATTTTACTATTTTTATATTTGTATAAATATATGCTTAAATTTGTATAAATATATGCTACTATGAAAAGCGTATTGTTTAATCAATTTTAAATTAAATAAATGATGTTGCAATCGTGAAATAACACAACTTTCTTACATGTTTGACTGTGTTTCGAATTACGCGCGAACAGTGCATGCAATTTCAGAGAATCAGTATAACTCCCTTCTAACTAAGACTGCGTTCCGATATTCGTTGCCAGTAATAAAATTCTATACTTCACGTCACATGTGCTATAAATTTCCAATACTGGCAATTGATATCGGAACGCAGCCTAAGTTGGCATCGAGCCTTCGAGAATAGTTACGACAACGATAGTATAGGCCATGATATCATCTTCGGATGCATTGATTAATTACAAATGCATAAAAACTTATAAGTGCGTTCTTATGCGATGAGATAAAAAATCATAGATTTCATTTAACGGAGTGTTCTGTGTGAGTGCGATTTTTAAACGCAAACTCTTTCGCGTCGCAATCGGTGTAAACTATTGCAGGTTATGTTTTGATCGCTTCGTGCATGTAAAGGTGTGAAAGGCGAAAAAAAACAAACAAAAGAGTGCAAAACTTTATTGTGCATTTGCATTTAATTCGCATTGAGTTTTACCATTTTATTGGTTGATATTTCAGGTACTTAGTATTTCAGGAAACTACGTGTTAAACGATCTCTACCCGCAATACGTCAACTATACTTGAGTTTATTACGGCAAAATGTGTTGTTTCGCGGTATCCAAGGAATATAGTGACATCTGTATTATCTGATAGACGTTACGTGACCATTTTTTAATACATATATATACAGCATGGTCACAGAAACTGTATAAATTAAGTTACCATACGCGAATATATTGGATATGTTACTATTCTTACAGAAAACTGTATTATCTGTGTGAAACAGTAGATAACTGTATTACCTGTAAACCATACAGTATAGTAGGTTTTTTTCTGTACTATATAACTATATAGACTGCTAGTTCATATTTTGTTATTATGTACTATATAACTATTCTATATTATATAACTGCTAGTTCACATTTTGTTATTATGTACTATATAACTATTCTGTACTATATAACTATATAGACTGCTAGTTCACATTTTGTTATTATGTACTATATAACTATTCTGTACTATATAAACTATATAGACTGCTAGTTCACATTTTGCTGCTATTTAATTTCAATTTAATATAATTCTTTTGCTTTCTCAGGCTTTTTTGTTCCAAAAAATTTGTTTTGTCATGTAACATGTCAATAAATATGACCGGCGGTTCGTAATCATGTACAATCAAAATATTTAACTATATAAGAAACTAACCGAGGAAACTGTCTCAAAATTTAGTTCATAAAAAAATAATATTGTTAATTTATACAGATATTATTTATATATTTGCAGAAATATGCCAGTATATTATACCGGTTTAAATGCCAGTCCGCTTTTTTCCGATCAGAACGGAATTATTCCGTCGGTATCGCACTTGACTCAGATCCCATTTTCGGGAATCACAGACGTCGAGATCGGTTGGAATTATTTTCTTCTGTGGAAAGATACGCAATTGTACATCACGGGAAAAATCAGTGAGAACGATGACAGAAATAACCCTTATTTAATGCAAATTCCAGAAGAGTCATCAGGAAGGTTAAAAAAAAAAAAAAAAAATAAGAAATGCGGAATCTATTTTTTTTTTAATATTTTTAACATTTTTTGTTTTATATATATTGTTTATTTCATTTTCTTTGTACATACAGTTGTAAAATGGCTGTTCCTGGTCGGAACTGTGTGATTGTCTTATCAACACGTAATGAAATCTGGAAGTATAAGGTGTACGATAACTCTTGGCAAAAAGTGACACCTTTTATTCTTAGTAATGATGATATGCAACCTGAGTATGCTATCAAATTGTTGCAAACAGGATGTACAGTGGTTCTAACTAACTTAGGTGTGCGATAAAAAATAATATACATCTGTAAGGAAACATATAAAACGTGTCTATCTGATTTTCACGAACTTCGATTACGTTGCGTGTAAAAAAGTTGCAAATAAAGCACTTATTGTTTTATATTTTTCTTCGTTTTCTTGTCCAAAATCTTATAAAGTTTTGATTTATTTGTTAAGGACGTGTGTTTAATGCTCCGCTGTTGGTCGACACGCCAAAGAGAGTCAAATTTATCGACATCGCTTGCGGATTCGATCATACAATTCTACTCGCAGAGAACGGTGATGTTTATTCAATGGGAATGGGAATGCACGTAATTGTTTTTATACTCCTTGTGTGCAAATTATATTACAGTTTCTATAAATAAATTTGTAATTTACATATATAACAGACGTGGTCAGTTAGGACACAATGAGTTGGAAGATTGTGACAATCCGAGACTCGTCGAGGCTTTAGCGGGTCTAAAGGTTGTCCATATTTCGGCGGGCGGTTGGCATAGCGCTGTAGTTACCGATCAGGTTGGTTTTCACGTATAAAAATATGTGCGCGTGTATCTCACGCGAGTTAAAAAAAAATTAAAATATATATATACATCACGGTAGGGTGATTTATATACTTGGGGATGGAATTCAAACGGAGAACTAGGGATTGAAAGCAAAGACAGAAAAGTTCACGCTATTCCGACACTGGTGGATTTTAAAAACAAAGAAGGAGAAAATGTGGAAACAAATGTCAGAAAAGTCGAATGCGGAAATTCGTTTACTATATGTTTAACAGGTGATATATATGTACAATATTTAATAATATATATGTTACTTTTAAAAAAATAAAAAAAAGTATAATTCTCAAGGAAATATTTTTCTTCTAGACGATGGTTCTTTTTGGGGCTGTGGCACTAATAAGTTCGGTCAATTAGGAAAACTTCAGCAGGACTTGGAAAATCCCTGGAGTTTTGTCCAATTGAACGTGCGACCAGTAGATCCTAAAACAGTGAGAAAATTTAAGTGTCACGAATGGGGCACGGCGATGATTACGGACTAAAACATGTATGTAATTTTCAAATAATATGAAATAAAGTACAAATTTAGTTTTTTAATCGTATGATTGTTTGTATATTTACATATACGTGAATGTTAAACAACTGAATTTCGATCCAATTAAGTAGCCTATAGGTATATATTTATTGACTCACCTCTTTTGTCAAGTCTTATTTCAGTAGCAGTTTTTTGTAATTTCTCGCCAAAGACGTCATACACTTTTTTTTTTTTTTTGGAAAATCGGCCAGTTTAATTTGACGTAGTACTCGCAGAATACGTAGCACGCGAAAGACTTGCATTTCTATTGGCGTTACGAAAACTGCGTATTGCAATTTGTTAGCATATATGTGTAAAATACAAAAACATTTGTTAGCATATCTGTGTAAAAATACAAAAGCAGATGAAAGAAACGCGACATATCGAAGTGTGTTTTAGCTTTTCCTAAACTTACATATTACGTGTTGCTTCGGCGATTACATTCAGTACGTCGCTTGAATTTATTAATTTGAGGAAGATATAGTAACCGCGTTTACATTTCACGGCTCTTCTCTCGCACATTATCCGCTTCACTGAAACAGAACAATAATTACTTTCATATTTTAAAGAGAATAGCACGGTATAATCGCACACGCTGTTTTATTCATTTCCATTTACCTATTTTCGTCGACATCAGCTTTCGAGGATTTTCTCGAAAGAAGAAAAATTGCTTTCTTGGGATGAGAGTTCGTCATCTTTTAACTTCTTCTTCTTGTACAATTTCTGAACAAATACTCTACCTCGCTCTTGGCGGATTTATCAGTTGCGAGTTTTTTTTTTCTCCATCTACAAATAATTCCCAGTGCGACACTTGATCACCGGCAGATAATTTTTCAGCAGCATCAAGAAATAACACTCTTATCTCTTTGAAAAAGAGTCTTGGCGTTGCAGTTTCTTATCTACGAAAAATATTCTGTTTCTAGAAAAACGTGTACTTTTACACAATTTCGCTCTACACAGGAGATTCCTTTACTTGTAAATAAATATATAATAATATAAATATAAATATAATATTTATATATATATATATATATATAATTGCTTATATGTAATAATTTTTATAATAATTATTATTATTTTGCATCACACTAAATATATCGTTTCGATAGTTTGTTTAGTATTACCTCGAATTAAAATTTCATCTTGTCAATCAGCTAATTAAAATACCTCTGTGATGATCATCTTAGACGATCTTTGTGACGTATAACTTGAAGTGCTATCGTATCCAGGAACCAGAAGGCAGTCTTCGTTAGTTCTCCACTATGTGTGACTCTCAGAAGATCACCTAACATTCTGATTGGATGTTTATTTTCACACAATTCTAAGTTTTACAAAACCGAAACATCTTCGCGCGAAGATTTATCAACTCGATGAGATATGTTCTTTCTCTCAATATTTTCATAGTTTTTCCGCGCGCGACAAAGCCTTTAAAAGTGCTTGGAAGACAAATCATTCTTTCGTTCGTTGATCTCATAACAAACGTCAAATACACATAAAAATAAAAAATTTATTTTAATATTAATTTAGAAATACGAACAAAGTTGCCGCATAAATTTGCCTATTAACTAGACGCACATAAATTACACGCGCCAACGGAAAGTTAAAATAAATTTTTTTAAATATACATATGTGCGCGCGTATCTTCGTATTCAGTTTCAATTTCATTGTGTTTCTTTTCAAATGTTGAATTTTTTTTTTTCCAGAGTCGAGCATATTAGATACGATTTTATATATTACGAATTGAAAAACTCGGGTTACGCGCGCGTCGTGTGTGTAAAGGTATATATTCGCATCGGATTTCACACCTATGCAGTCACGCGACGTGAATGCAATCGCGAAATCCAACAGAGAATTGCCTGTCGTTGACGACGTGTTGCATATCGGGTGTGAGAATAGAAAAAATCACACGGCTTTGTTTTGTTTTTACTCATTGATTTTATTAATTTTTTTTTCCATATTTTGTTCAATATTTTCAGAAAATAACACTCCAAAGCGAAAAAACCGTATATTCTCACCAATCCAATATATATATGTATAATATATATATATTATACTTCTCATATATAATATATATGTATATATATATAATATATATATAATGTATACTTTTATACTTTTATATATATAATAATATTATGTAGAGTAGCGCACACTTTAGACTGTTATGTATCGATACCTTTTATAATTTTATCGATAATTACAAATATTGTGAAAAACATGAAACAGACACAGTCGGCGGGGACGCGCGGATTTCGGCGTGGGACTTTTTTTTTTTTTTTTTTCTTACGGAACCGTGAAAAAAGTTTTCGCGACGGATACTGCCGTCCGCTGCTTCCGCGTCTGCCTGATAATATAATAACCAACCCGATATTACTTACCTCTATCTGGAGAAATAATGTATCTCAAATTTAAAAAAAAAAAACAAATCGCTCTTTCCAAACGGAAAAATTACTTCGATGAGATCTATATAAAAGTCGATAATTGCACTCGAGTCTTTTTGCGAAATTGTTTTGTACCTGTTTTATTATAAAGGGTGTGTATCGAAGGAAGAAGCGGAAGCAGCTAGTCCTCGTCTCTCCTCACTCGTCGAACGTCTCTATAATAACTATAATATATATATATATAATATATAATATATAATATGTATATATACACGCGCGAACATACGCGTGCCCCGGCGCGACTCTGAATTTTTTTTTTATTTATATATTTTCACACCGAAGTCAGAAAGGCAATACGCAGTATGAACTTACTTAGTACATTTGTGTTTTGTGTGTGTGTACGCGTTTTTTTCATGTGTGTGGCTTTTACAACTATTTTCCTCATTTGTCTATTGTTCCGTGCCTTCTTTCCGTCATTTGGTTCTCCCTATGTTTTTTTCTTTTGGTTTTTGTTTATTTTTTTTTTTTTGTTTTTTTTTTTTGGTTTCATAATAACACGCTCTTTGTCTTTCGCTTTGTTAGATCGTTTTCTCCCCTCCCCCCTCCCCCGTTTTTCACCTCGCATTTCCCCCCGCATTTCTTTTTCACTTTCGGTAGCCTGGTTTTCCGTCTTCCCCCCCGTTTCTTCCGAGTTCGCGAAAATTATCCGGAGACGCGTGAGAGTAAAAGGAATAGAGAGGTACGAAGAAGAGGGATTTTCTTTTTCAAGAGGGATTGAGTGGTCAGAGGGTAGCGGAGAGATAATCGTATACACAGACGCGGCTAACGGAATCCCTCGACGCTCAAATCAAAGTAAAACAAATAAAAGAAAAAACATATAACAGGTGGGATAATGGCAGTTGCGATCGCAAAAATCGTAGACGCATGTCGAGTTTCGAAACAGGATCAAAGAGAGTTTTGCGAAATTTCAATTTTTTAAAAAACGACTTCGGTTTTTGCAAAAGCGCAAAATGGAAACAACAATCTATTTAAAGAAACTTGTTATGTGCGCTCTCTCTTATTATTACTGCGCAAGACATTTTAATATACTTACAACTGACAAACTTTAATATACTTAAACTGCGCAATTTGCAACTTTAAATTTACAAAACTTTTTATATATTAAAATCAGTATATAAATATTTGACATTTGTTAAAATTCAATTTAGAGACTTTAATAGCGATATTCTCGCTGATTTATTTAATCAATAAAGAAAATAATTATACGAGTTATCACTTAATGAGTTATATATATAAATAAATTATTTGAGTTGTATGTCTTATCACTTCACATCTCTGCGTTACATTTATTACACAGAATTATTTAACGGTTATGCATATTTTACATGTCATTAATATTTCTTGTTGCACAATTAAATAAAATTTCTTTCTAATGAAATTTTATGTATGTAAATCGATTAATTTATTTAAAAACTTTGAAACGGAATTTCAGGATAATTTATTAAGTTATGTCGTAAAATTATTACGAGCGACGTTAACTATAATAATAATTGATGCTCTTCATATAAATTTGCTCCACTTGCGAACGATATTATTTTGAAATCGCAACAGAATAAGGCGCGCTTCTCCAAAAAAAATATCCCAATTTCTTTCGTTCGCATAAAATGTGTTATGTATTATGTGTGTAAAAGTAAACTATTAATTTAAAATGCAGTCATTCTGATTTAAAAAGTGAAAGAAATTGAGAAACATGCAGTTGCAATATGTGAAGTATTTCGGAGAAGCAAAAATCAACAAATCGATAAAATGAATATTTTTCAATCGATTTTATTGAAAATAATACAACAAAATGTTTCATAATAATAATATATAATAAGAATATAATAATAATAATAATAATAATAATAATAATAATAATAATAATTAAAAATAATTAATAATCATAGATACGTACTGTTCTCTACTCAATGTCTAGATAATCGCCTTAAAACATTGTTTAAATAATAATATTATCGTCATTTTAATCAGTAATAATAAAATAATAATAATAAAGGCAATAAAGTTAATAATAATAATTATATATCATAGAATAATGTATCAATAAACAAACTTAATAGGCTAATTTACTCGTTAATCATTCGTCATCGTTCTCGATCGCTATTAATGGATCATTTTACTCCATCTAGTCATTTAATAATGGATAATTAATTAATTCATTAATTAAATTACACGTTGCTTGGATATGCACATAGAGATATAAAGTCGTTTTTTTTTTGGTCCCACCTTATCTGCAAACGTTATATTCATACAATTTTTGTTTGTTTCTCGTGTGTGTGTGTATCGCTTGGATCGCTTTACATGTATATTGCGTGTGTGTTTTTTTTTCTTACGTGTGTGTGTGCGCGCGCGTGTGTGTGCACGTGTGTTGCAAATAACTACTGTCCCGCTATCGATATAAAGCTGTCATTTCTCTATTTCCCTTTGTCCCCTTCCCTCCCGTTCTACCCACCCCCATCAGCCCTCCCCCTATCAGTATTTTTCGAAATTATCTATCGCGTATACACATGTGAACAGCATTGCGTTGTCGCGCGAGCGCGTGATGCGCAATGCGCATTCGAATTGGAAAATTCGCGCGGAACGCATGACAGGATGTTCCCGAAAAAAAACGCAAAGAATGACAAACGAATGTGACGACGAAAAAAAAAAAAAAAAAAAAAATTAAGAAAATAAAAAAGAAGAAGAAAACAGATAAAAGAAACTGAGATTAAAAAAGAAACACGACAATTCGATCCCGTACCTTCGGCGGCCGAAAGTTTAAATATACACGTTCACGCCGCTCAAGTAAAATATACATACACACACATATATATATATATATATATATATATTTATATTTATATATATGTCGCGATTATATATATATATGTATACATATCGCTCTTCTCATGCCCCGTGTGCCCGTCCGCGTTCCACACCCCCGCGCGTTCCACCCTCTCTCTTCCCTCGGGCGCTGTCTTTCTTTCCCGCCGTCCCACTTTTTTTCCCGGCGAACGCTTTTACCATTGTGGGACGGGAGTTTTCGCGGAACACACGTCCCTCTCGCGTTCTCATCCCTCGTATTTTTTTTACAACTGGCATTTGCGTTCCGTTCTCCTTCGTCTCGCTACTTTTTTTTACAAAGTATACGCTTAAAGGTTACCTAATAACATTACTCTCACTAGATTCACACGAGGTGCGAACGTTTCAAGCGTTCGAACCGTTCCCGATGCATGCAAACCCTCGACGCGAGGTATTTATTTATTTTATTTTATTTATTTTTTTTCTTTTAAAGTATTTCTTTTTTCGCTTACAGCCAATTGAGAGATAATTTTTTCGCGACCGACGTCACCGCCGATCGCCGAATAAAAAGATCCTAATTAATCTTTCTTTATTAAGGCTACGCCGCGCAATTTCCCGCAATTTACAGTTACTCGCACGAATACTGGTTTATATCAGTCTCATATATTTCTTCCGCCGAGTCCGATCGAACCGTCTCTGTTCATCGAAGCGTCGA